AACGTGTATTGATCACGACAATTTACCAATGCAAATCGATTCATTACCAAGCATAGAATTGCAGCAATTAAAACAGATCCGTCACGTGTCACATTTGTTTCTTTAATTATCGAGCACAATTTTCAGTGTAAATGTAAATTTTTTATTATAATAAATCAAGGACTGGTGTTATAATAATGAGTACAAAAAGCATTACGCCTATAGATTTTAATTGCAATGCCATTATGCTTAGAAGGATTAGTTACGTTAAATGATACTATACTTTCACCAATTAGTGGAGTATTATACACCAGGTAAAGTTGTAATGGGCACTCTTCGAGGCTTCGACGCTTGTCAAAACTATAAATTATTGTTAGCCTGAAGTCGTGATCAAGATTTTACTTACGACGAGAATCCTCCAGTGACAAACAGGCGTGAAAATACACAGCCTGAAAGCTATGAATGGCCCGATCTGTGTCGAAGACCAGCTCGAAAACAAGGTGTAAATAATGACGCCTCGATCCCGATCTCACGTTGACGGGTGTGGGCGGATCGGTTATCAAAACAAACACGTTGAGAGCTTAAAGCGGTCGTCATTATCGACAGAATGTTAATTAGACGTTGGACCGCTATCGTACCATCTACGCTCGTCGTGAAGAGTTTTTGATTACGCTCATGGCTAAAGGTGTTGAATCTGTATTGATACTAATTTAATTAAACCGGCACCTTCTTTTTCTATTTTATATAGTATAAGTATGTAGATTCCACACAATTTCTTGTTAACGCTTTACAATTCATAACAAAACTCTCTTAGCGGTAAATAGTAGAAGTTTTGTTGTTGCATTAGAGAAAGAGTACGTTCGCACATAAATAGGTACGTGTCGAGAACCGAGTATCGGATGTTGATTTTGCGGTGACGCTTTGTCTGCCACACTGTTTACACAGGATCCTACAATGGCACATCTGCAGATCCCATACTCGTAGAAAACCGCACGTACGATAAACACGCCTGACGTATTATAGGACGAAAATACCTACTGCCACTATTTTAAAGGTTAACTGACACGAAGTGGGTATTGGATTAACGGTAAATTGCTATTATAACCACGAAAGGTATTTTACCCAATACATAAATAATAAGATTTACTTTATAACAGAAAAATTATAATCAATATCAAGATAAATATAACAATAAATAAAGTAGATATTTGTTATAATCTGATTTACCATTAAATAAGTAAATAAGTACATTAACTGGTAGCATAAATCAATACAAGTTGTAAATATTGAACACATTATTTTGATGCATAGGTATTGTTGTTTTTGAAAGAATGTAGTTTAAAAGTATGTTTATTTAATTTTTACAAATCATTAAAGAAATCCTTACAGAGAATTTGCGATGGACTGGAAATGAAAATAGGAGCGGAAATGTTGATTAATTTAATGAAATATTTAAAAATATACTTCTGAGTTGTTGCTGATATCTGCTCATATTTAGGAGAGGCTATTCTCACATCTTGATTAATTATTTTAAGGTTTTCTTCTATTATTTAAGCCGTAATATACAAAGTTTCTAATATCAGAACTCTAAAGTGTTCTAATGAGTGATTTTTTCATATTATGTAAGGATTGTGTTTTGACAGAAGATATAAAATAACTAATGCGAATTCTATGGAGCGAGAATTGAACAAAATCACGGTCAATAACAGTATTTAGGCGGAGCAGGCAACCATGAAATCGGATAAGACATACCTAGAATCTAATGCGTCAGATAACAATGACGAAGCAAGACTAACAGAATAAAAGCAGCAAATAAATATAACACCACACTTCCCATACTAAAATTCGGAACCATTCGCAGAGAAAGCCAAAATGACAGAGTATAAAACCATGATCAGTACAGTACTAACGTATGGAGAGACGCAGAGAAACTGGATTCACTAGAGAGGAAAATCTCAAGAAAAATAAAGGGACCAACCAGGGATGGGAACAAATTGCATCAGTTGTAACTATATCAAGAACCGATAAGGTAAGTATCTTGTGTTATTGAAAAAGTAGTTTGCAGCTTGCAGTACTATTTTCACCTGCTAAAACCTGTAATGCTTTCTTTTGTTGCATGAAAATATCTTTGACCGCCGGAGAATTCCCCCAAATCAGTATTCCATACGACGCCCTACTATGAAAATTGGCGAAGTAGGTTGCTCTGGCAGCCTCATATCCAGCTATAGCCCGTATGCGCCTGACTGGAAATATTGCTACAGCCAGGCATCTTGGAAGATATTCAACATAAGAGTTCCAGCTTAGGTATGACATAACATATATCCCCAGGAATTTAATACGTTCTTGCTCCCGTCCACTATTCCGCAGCTTCGGCTATAACAACTTCTGACTTATTTTCAAGTTCAACTCTATCTTTCGACGTTAGCACAAAAGATGTATCATCAGCATGTATATAAATGCCATCAGCTGAGATGTTAATAGGAAGATCATTTATGTAAACAATAAAGAGCATTGGACCCAGAATTGATCCTTGTGGGACACCAGATATAATATTAGTAAGATCCGAAGTTCGACCTTTCCACTCTACACACTGCATTCTACTATTAAGATAACTACGAATGATTTGATTTGGTAGACCTCTTATACCATAATGTTCCAGTTTATTCAACAGAATTTCATGTTGGACGCAATCAAAAGCCTTTGACAAGTCACAACATAATAATTGGACATCCTCCTTCTCGTCAAATGCACGTGCCACAGCATCAACCAAGCTAGTTAGAGCTGAAGTGGTAAACGTTTGTCTACCAGTAGCAGTAGGCTTTAAGAAGGAGGACTGTCGACTTCCGTTCAACATTCTGGAGACAAGTACACTGGGATTTAGATTAGGACCAGGGATAGTTTCAACTGTATTTACTGCAATCCTGTAGAAATAACTATTGAAATTCTGAGCATCCAAACTGGAAAAGTAATTACCGTTGTTTTCGTTCTTTCCTTTTAGCTCTATGTTTATCAACTGCCATATAGCCTTTTGTTTATTAGTCGCAGTATTGATGACTTCGACAACATGTTTTTGCTTTTCAGTCATGACCGCCGAACTATATTCTCTTCTAGTATTATTGTAAAGATCATTCTTGAGCATTCTTCGTTACTCTATTGATAATATATAACACATCCAAACGTTTCTTAATTTCTTCAAGTTGTGGGGATAATCGTATTATATGATTTGTTAAAATGTAAAAAGAAACAAAGAGGATTTGCACCTCTTCTCAACCTTGTTGAGAAACAGAAATTTATACAGGGGTACTAATTTATTAAGAGAATTTTCGGTCGATGAAGTTTATGGTATATTCAAAAAATTCTGCAGAATATCCAGAGAGTATATTCTAAATTTACTACAACTTGTTGAATTAAAAATATTGAAAACTGATACGAACTATCGAAGAGCAATTCTTGCAATAGAGCGACTGGCTGTAACACTGGGATTTCTTGCTACAGGATGCTCCTACACTTTGTTCATGTACACCTTTGAGATATCTAAACAACCTATATCAAAAATTGTTTGAAGTTAACAATCAATGTAAATAATAATTTGAAAAAAAGTTGAAAATGAATGAATGAAACTTATAGAAATAAGATTCCCCTGTTGGAGCTTCATTTGGGTTGAAATTTGAGCTTGGGTGGAGTACAAATTCCTCTCTGTAGATACTGAACTGCTCCTTCAGTAGAAGGTGTGGTGCTATGATAGAATACCTCATAAGGTGATGCAGGAGATGACATCTGGTGCTGATAGAATTGGACTTATTACCCCATATCTGCATTAATAAGAATATTATTCATGTGATGCTGTACAATTGCGCGAGTCCTAGTGTCATAAGTTATGACTCATAACTGAGTAATTTTAAAGCTACATGTTCGCCATACATAAGTCTTTCATACAGAAGTTTAAAATCATATCACAATAAGTTGTCATGTCATAAGAGTTATTGTCTAAAAATCTTAAATATGTCGTTAACAGTTTCCAGCTAAAAATGTTTGGCCTACAATGAAAGCTATAGAGCATACTTGAAAAAAAAATGAAAATGTTAACATTGTCGAGGTGATAATGTAGGTACTTATCGATATACACTCCTATAAGACTAAACATGGTAACTATATGATAATAAATAAATCCCAAAAACCTTTAACCTATAAAACGATAAGGTCTATAACGAAGTAATAACAGCTTTGAAAACAAAATGACACTAAATATTAAACTGCTCTTGGAAAACAATTTCCAACTCAGAATTTGATAATAATCTTCTGATCACTACTCCGAATGTCTTCCTATAGCTAGCTGAGTAAACTACGCCAGAACAACGCTTGTAAATCATGCAAATTTAAGTCAAAAATAGCCATTATTTGTTTTTGTTCGTGGCAATTGTCCTGTTTGCTGAACAGCAATTGCTGTGCACAGCAATTGAAGCTATGTTCATCAACCTTACGAGTAATTTTAAGATTTTACATGAATTGAAGCCACGTGAGCATGCTAGTGGTATGTTTGATGAATGGACTGAAAACTGGATTGCTCTGAAAGGCTATTTGCACCACAAGATTTTGTTTAGAGACATCTTTTGTTGAATGCTTATGTCAATAAATAGAATTTCTGTGTCTGGAGTAAAGAACCTATGTAAAGTTACTTAATTTGTGGTAATCATTGGCCCACACATTAATAAGGTTCGAGCTTTTCTATAATTACTTTATTCGAGGAAACAAAATTAAAACAAACTTTAAAGTTGCTACTCTATACAGATAAACAACGCACTATGGACAATTTTCGATACCAATATTAACCGTCTTATTACCTTAGCTATTCAAAAAGATTACCTTCTGGATTGCATCTCATCTGAATCAGCCGTATTCATGTTTCAAACATAATAAAATGCTTATGGCATAAAATTATTTTTCAAATCACTGCATTTCCATAATTTTATCTCATCCTGCATAATCTGATTAGCTCTGAATCCTAATAAGTCACTTATTATTTCATTAATTGTCATTGCATTATCATCTTCAAAATTCACAATGTCAAATCTCTCAATTCGCGCATCATGCACAAACCGTATAATAACCAGTATATCACAAAGATTTCAACACAACAACCCATCAGCAGTTGAGGTAAAAAAGAAGGAGGAAGAGTTAACAAATATTTTAGCAAAGAAATTTCCGAATGCAAAGAAAATCGATGTAAATGATGTTTCTGGTGGATGCGGGTCCATGTTCGACGTTGTTATTGCTTCCGACGATTTTAAGGATATGAATTTAGTGAAGCAACATCAAATGGTGACCAATGCTTTAAAAGAAGAAATCAAATTGCTTCATGGAATTAGGATACAAACGAAGTTGGTGCCTTAATAACGCTTAATTCATTGTTTTTTATACTAAAATGAAATAATATTACTTTTGTACATGAATTTGTTGCCTTCTTATTACTAATATATTTTTTTCTTTTTTAAATATTTACAAAAAGGTTAGAACATGATACAATTGACGCAATGAAAAAGAACAACGAAGTATTGATAAGTATATTAAGAAAAAATTTTCCTAAAGCAAAAAAAATTGATGTGAATGATATATCTGGCGGAAATGGATCTGTTTACGACGTTACAATCGCTTCTGATGATTTTAAAAACACGAGTTTTTCAGAGCAAAATCAATTGGTGTCCGATTCTGTAGAAGAAGCAATTAATTGGCTTCGTGGGATTAAATTGCAAACAAAGTTTGTCGTTTTTAAATTAATTAATACTTTTAATTAATTTATGTAAAATAGGTTTCAGCTCTCCCATTCGTGCGAAATTGAAGCAAAAATGAAAAAAATGGTTTTAATAAGTACACTAACTAAGAAATTCCCGAATGCTGAGAAAATCGATGTAAACGATGCTTCCGGCGGATTCGGATCTATTTTCGACGTAGTCATCGTTTGTAACGAATTTGAAGATGTACCTTTGATGACACTAAATCAAATGGTAACAGACGCGTTAAAAGATGAATTTAAACTGTTTCATGGAACTAGAATACAAACAAAGTTGGTATCTTAAAAGTTATTTATTTTGATATTAATTTTTTGTTTTAAAAAGGTTTTTGCAATGTACACCTGAAGAGGATTTAAAAAAGAAATTGATTAGTATATTAATAAAGAAATTTCCGAATGCTTATAAACTCGATGTAAGTTATCGCAATTCTACGTTTGATGTTGTCATCGTTTCTGATGAATTTAAGAATATAAGTTTGGCGAAGCAACATCAAATGGTGATAAATGCTTTAAAAGAAGAAATGAAATTACTTCGTGGGTATAAAATACAAACGAAATTGGTGCCAACAATGTGATTCAGTTTCATATTTCATTCCCATTTCATTTTATAATAAAATACATATATATATAAAATTTTATCTTTTTTTGTATCTATAAAAAGTGATTGAAAAGGATGATAAATGAAAAAGATTTATGATGTTTAACGTCAATAGAAAAACCGCGTGCAAACACAACTAACAATGAAGATCGGGGCAAAAATCCAACAAATGAATGAACGGATAATGCGTGTTCGTAAACACAGACTCATTATGCAGTGAGAACTGTAAACACCAACCACCGGGTTTTGTTGCAACCCCGTGCTTTCCAACACGTTTTCTAATGTTAAGCCTGTTCCATGGTATAGGATCCAAGTAGCAAATAAAAGGGGACCGAAGGGCATTGTTAAACCAGCCGTTCCTTTTCCTTCTATAAAATCCATTTTTATTTATGTCAAATAAATTATTAATAAATATCAAGGCCATAACTCTTTTACTTTCAATATGAGATTGTTATTTTTTTTTTCTGAACTCATTGTTACAATTATTTTATTAACTCGGTTATGCATTTTAAAAATAAGAATAAAAAAAAATTAATACTGTTGGTTAGTGGTAGAAACTAAAATCTCGATAAGATATAATAAAATAAAGGAAGTAGTGACATTTACATTATATCATCTCATGTTACGCGTTACGAAAAGATGAACACAGCGATATACAAGGTAAAACCCGACGCGGTGACCACAATCTTTCTATTTTTACCGTTATACTAAGACGTAGCAATTATAGTAAGTAAACTTGTAAGTGTGACCTAAAAAACAAATAAATGGTGCAAAAATAAAATTATGGGTAATTAAGGAAAACTGCAGACAAAAAAAAGTTAAAGAAAAAACACAAAGAACTTCGTGTAATCGACTCGTAAATGAACTCATTTACTCCAAGCTTACGAGAACCGATGGGTGCCCGATAGTCCTGTCCGGGTTCCTGGTTCTTTGCAAGAAAAATACTAGGTCTTAACAGCATTATTTTCTTATGTTTCACATGACGGATGTGCACTACATCTCGTGGTGATTTAGATAAGTGGCAAAACTGTAAAAATGAAGAATGTAATTATAACACAAACAAATTCACATACACTACCGATTTTTGCATTACCTTTTAACAGTTTTATTTAAAAATTTAAATAATGGTGTAATTATTTTCTCACGTTAGCATCATTTCGTGTTACATAAATATCACTGCCACATAAATATACATAAATATATTATAAAAAAATAATCATGATGTTTTTCACATTCTTGAGAAAATATTAGAACAATTAACTTCCGTGAACATCTTTTGTATAACATGAAAACGTCTGCTGTTAGCGAATGGAATGTACAGTTAATTTCCGAATAATTAATTATACACAAGCAAGCATTTCTTGTCGCACAAAGATGGGAGACTGAGACAAAGAGAAATTTGTCCTTGGCCAACACCTGCCCACGCTTCGTGGTGAATAGCAGGGGATCAACAAACAATTAATTCTGTTATCAAATTAGCGAAGTTCATCGCTTGTGTTTATTTTGAAACTGTTTGTAGATTACGTAAGGTATTGACCTGTAAAAAGATTGGATTTCCTTTCTCCAGTTTATTAAATTGCAAAAGTTAACGAGTAAAATCTTATTAGAAATTTTACGGAAATAATTTGGCGTAATAATAACTATAAAATATATTGAGTAGAACACAATGACGCAAATTTCCAGCTTAAAGTTTATTACTGTACAGAAATCGTGGTTGGTAGCAATTGCGCTATCCAAAATGCAAAAATAATCGTTTCTGGGAATCCGTTTTCAGTTAGAAGCCTGGTGCACTGCGTTAATGAAAGAACAGTCCACCAGATAGTGTTCAAGCATTATTTAGCAGGTGAAGAGGTTCGCGTACGCCACATATTGCCAACCTGCGTTTCCACTGCTCGAACAGAATGAGGGTCACGACATTTTCTGTGCGTGCAATTATCATAATGACAGATGTTGTAAATGCACAACACACGAAAGGACGCTAACACAGTCTCGTAATAAAACGGGAATGATATGATACGAGGAGGAGCGCAAATATTGCAAATCGAGGCCGAAAATTATGCAAATGGCCTCCTGGTACAATAACGCATTTATCATGGTACACGAAGTTATGCAAGTGATGGAAAAATCCCCTCCTTTTTCTGGTAAAATGAGCCCGGCTGAGGGCTCTTCGGGTCGGGCCAAGCGAATGTTTATCTCAGGAAGGGTTAATTGTCCGGCTCGTATTTCAAAAGGAGCCATCCGCAGACCGAATCCTGGGAGGAAATTCCGCAAATAGCATCTCGGCGTGTATGGCGCGAAGGGTCGGCCCCTTATTCTTTAATTAAATAATTCATACTAAATTATGCTGTGACGGTCAGTTCGCCGCGCGGTGTCGTGCACAGCTGATCATTTTTCAATGCCCTTCGACTCGAACACGTTCTTGCTTTTAGTGCCACCGGACGGCACCGCCGCCGTCCTCAAAATATCGTTACAAATTGTCTGACGATGGGTTGGACGATCGTATCAATTTGAGGAATGGGCGCATTATAAACTCGTTAAGAACTGTTCAATACTTACATCAATTATATTCAAAAGATATCCATTGGGATCTTACTAATATTTTTAAGTCAATCACCTTATATGATCACCAGATCATCTTATACTTATAAATCAACTATTAATGAGTACTTACCAAGTCTTTAAAGCAACATTGAATACAGTTACAAGCGGTAGTATAATGGTAAAAAGTAAACAATAACTGATTGTGTCGGTCTACGGGACCCCCTTGAGCAATAAAATTATACAATAAAATATGACGGGGACAAGCTAATATGACAGGGCCATCGTCGTAAGTTTATCATGGGAACAATGGGATTCAATTCCATTCCGGAATACAAATGCCCAATCCATAATATTAAATCTGTCCACTATTGTCTAATTGCGATGAACGGCGATCGCCCTGCTGGCCCAAGTCCCCGCTCCCTGAATTATTCATGCGAAGATTGTCAAGTCCAGAGCCGGCTCCGATTTGATACGGTGCAGACGCCGGCGCCATAAAATCATCGACATGTGTTCCCGATGACTTATTACTATACTCTTATTGCGTCCATTACAATCCGACTATTATGTCGTTGAATAGGGTCTCAGAAACAGAATCTATTTTCAATTGAGAAACCTTATCAAAACACAATATTAAAATAAACACAAAATTCCTGTTATTCCAACTCTGTATACCGTACGAAAGAAGAAATTATTTTCATACAATACAGAATTAAAACATTAATAACGACGACGACGGTTAATTGTAACTATGTTTTCAGACAACGATTTTTTTTCAACGTGGTGTGTATACATCCGATGAAGTTGACATGAAGACAGTTTTATGAATCAGATTTTTTTGCACTTTGTCGTTTTGCTTGTACCGGAATCATTCGTTATTTGTCGGCAATTAGTTCTTAAAAATGACAGGTGTGTTGACGGAAGTCTAAAATCTGGGGACTTTAAAGTAGCCCATGTGTATCAAATTAGTAAATACACGAATTTTTCACCATGTAAACAACCGTGGGTAATTTTTTTATATATCCATGTGTTTAACATCTTATATTCATTTAAAATCTTCAAGGTCAAAGTATTTAAACTTAACCTTCATCCATAAAATGATTAATAAATGATGCCATAATGAACGTACGGTCTTCTCATTTTCGGATGAACGAAACGAAATGTACGAATATAGACAACACCTGATGATGGACGCAAATTGCGCAGAAAATTGGTACATGGTTTTGCTGTTTATCTGTCCGGTTCGACGTCTATTACTTCTTCGAAGGGATTTTAACGCGACGGCCTGCGTCCATCGGTCCCTGTTTCAACGGACGACCGTTGGCCGTATGCTGGCGGGCGTCGCGGCGCTTGTTGTACACATGTAGAGCACTGTACAATTAATGTCCGGCGTAATGCACGAGCGCTCGGCTTTGTCTCCGGTTGTTTATGGGTTATTGCAGCCGATATAAAAGCTATTGATTCGGAACGATTACATGGACGGCTGTGCCCCCCACTGATCTATGTCCGAGTCGAACCAAACCAATACGTTCCACGTAGTATACTCGACTCGACCGGTTCAAACACGTTCGGTACGGTTCTATCAGGACTAATGGACAACCACGTATACCTATTTGTTAAAACAGTTTCAACGTATTATCTGTGAGTACGATTTATAGAGAAGAGTAGTATACTGCTTCAACTATACTGGACTAAGTTAGCAGATGTGATTATCGATGAACTTACAATAAATTGATAATAAACTATATTTAAAATAAAAAATCTGTTGTTTAGTTCGATTTTAAATTCTTTTGTATTTGAATATACAAGAAAAAGCTATCTGTGAGTATCGTTGTTTGGTTAAGTTAACGCATTGATGATTATATTAAGAAGTTAAAGTTGGATTAACAATGACGATTGTCTAAAGTTATAGCGTCAGTTTGGAACGAACCTTATGACCAATATGGTTTTATTGCGCATTCTTTGGATAATTAAAGAAAAATTCGCTATCTTTAAAAGAGCACGTGGAAACGCTTAGAGTCGGTTGGAATCTCATGAAGTGAATTACATGGAATGCCAATGACAGGAAACATGAACAAGTAAACATAAAGAATTCTGCAACAAATATTTTTTTTTAATTTAATTGTGAATTTTCTTCAAGCAATTTATTTCATCATTCCTTTACCGATATCATCTCTTTTAGTTGTTGTCAAAGCTACTTATATGGACATATTGGGTAGTTGGATCACCGCTACGAAGTACCGCTCAAATCTCCGGGGCAAAATTGGAGTAAAACAAATGACAAATTGTTACCCCGTTTTCTAGTGTTATGATGCGTCTTTATGAATTTATATGTTGTCAGGTTTATAATTTAAAATAATCCTAACTTTGATCGTAAAGATACTAATGAGCCTGTTGGAATGTCCACGCCTACAGAAGAGGTTCGCAAAGTCCTTCCTGAACTCATCGCCCTCTTCTTTGTTTGGCTATCATAACTGAAATACCAATGGT